GGCTGCTGCAATAAAGAAGTTGGATGCAAGCAAGCAACCAGATGACGAATTCTTAGCCCAGGTTTCATTTGAATATTGTAACTTATCGAGTCCTACAAGGAATCAGGAGTTCATCATTGAGTATATCCAACAAATTGTTTTTGAACGTGCAGGTTTCTATGGTTTCGAGGCTAAAGCATGAAAATTTTGTTGAATTACTTGGTTATTGTGTTGATGGAAATCAGCGCGTTCTTGCATACGAATTTGCATCTAATGGTTCTCTTCATGATATTCTTCACGGTATGTTACCACCTCCCTGCTAAAATATTTTTATGTTTCTTGTCTGCTTCCCCCGCCTTTGTGTCTGATCTGACCTTTTATTGTTGTTCTGTTTATTGATTCATACTAATGGCTTGAGGAGAAATTTAAATTTCAATCTTCACTTGTCATCTTTCAGGAAGGAAAGGTGTTAAAGGAGCACAACCTGGTCCTGTTCTTTCATGGGCACAGCGTGTAAAGATTGCAGTAGGTGCTGCTAAGGGACTTGAATATTTGCATGAAAAAGCAGATCCTCACATCATCCACCGTGATGTTAAGTCCAGCAATGTCTTAATCTTTGATGATGATGCTGCTAAAATTGCTGACTTTGATTTGTCAAATCAAGCTCCTGATATGGCTGCACGTCTTCACTCAACTCGTGTTCTTGGAACATTTGGTTATCATGCTCCTGAGTAAGATACTTTTGGAACACCATATACATTTTTCTCCCTTCTCTCCCATTTTAAAATATTGAGAGAAATATTATTTATATGCTCTACCAATGCTCTCTATTTTGGCTCTTCATTTTCCTTTTCTAAAGAAACATTATTGATTTCTCCTCATCCTTTATTTAACATATTATTATTTTTATATGTCAAATGCCTAATCAATTCAAATATGATTTTAATTTAAGGAGTAATGAAATATGTAGCTTATTAAATGCATGGAATCTGTAGCTTATTAAATGCAATCATCAAGTAAGAGTAGAGCCAAACTCAAATCTCTTTTTAAAAAAGTTAAAATAGAGATTCTCTTAGAGCTTATTTTTAAGCATTGGCTCTCTAAAATATAGAGCATCTTGTATTTAGAGAGTGAATTTAGGAATAAAAAGTAGATAACATAAAATTGTCTATATTTAGTCTCTTGGAGATGCTCTTATATACATTTTTCTCCCCTCTCCCTTTTGGAACTCAAAAGTCAAGGTTATATTTCATACGTACCACGTAAAATGAGTTAATCGGCTCACTATATTATGGTTATTGAAGCTTGAATAAGCCATTGGAGTCAAATGCGAATCTGTTTCCTAGTCTTTCTGGCAACCAGGATCGTTGAATGAGATTTTTGATAAACCTTATTACATTATGAAGTTTTTAGTTATCATGAATTCTGTTTCATTTTGTCCAGTCATCTGACCACTTTATACTTATTTGTTAGTTATCTAAAGTCCAACTTCAGAGTTTCAGTTATCTAAATCCTTTCGTTCATTTGGACCTCTTTTTTCGTATTGGAACTAAAACAATATTATGGTGTTTTGTTATTTACTGGTGCTTTTTGTACCTTGTTTGGCAGATATGCAATGACTGGACAGCTGAACTCAAAGAGTGATGTCTACAGCTTTGGTGTCGTCCTTCTAGAGCTTCTTACAGGACGTAAGCCCGTTGATCATACATTACCTCGTGGGCAGCAAAGCCTAGTTACATGGGTATTAAGTTTCTCCCAATTTCCCTTCTAACATCTGTGGTTTATTTCACATCTCATTATATTTGAAATAAAAAATCGAATTCCTTTGTGCTTTACTTGTTTATTCAAATTTTCTGCCACGTAATTTAGGCTACGCCAAAGCTGAGTGAAGACAAGGTCAGGCAATGTGTTGATGGACGACTGGGAAGAGAATACCCTCCTAAAGCAGTTGCTAAGGTATTTTCAAGTTTCCAATTGAAAGGAAAAGATTTATGTCCTTTTGTTAAAGAAGAATGATACTGATTTTGTAGAAAGAGATTACAAAGTGTTTGCCTGCTAATATTTCACTTTTCCTTGCTCATTCTCAATATTTTAATGCAGATGGCTGCTGTTGCTGCCTTGTGCGTACAATATGAAGCTGATTTCCGGCCAAACATGAGCATTGTAGTCAAAGCCCTCCAGCCACTTTTAAATGCTCGGCCAGGACCGGCTGGTGAAACTGGCCAGACATGAGAGTTGCAGCCAAGCTACTGATGGTGCTGCTTGGGCAGGATGAATTGCTGAGTAGAAGCGGAAGCATACAATAATCTCACTTTCTTCTCCATGTCTAAATTAATCAGTTATTTTATTAGATTGAAGTGCATTAAGATGCTTCAGTCAATTTATTCGATTGTTCATAATGTATACTATGATTGTGTTGATCAAGAATCAAGAGGTCTGTGGGAAATGACAAGTCATATTTCTGAGTGAGTATCTGATGAGGTGAGTAAAAATTTCAACAAAATGGATATGGATATTGATGGGCATTTTCCCTCCCCGAAGAATAGAATCCAACCTCGTTTACTTTTCTTTCTTTTTTTTTCTCTCTTCCTGATTAACTATTTAGGTTGAAATGGTCATCAGCTAAAAAAGCAAGGGTAACTGTCTATTGAAAAGTCTTAAAACTTCAATATGATGTATGACAATAGAAGAGTAATTTTAATTGATACGTAGAACTATTTTGCGGAGTGTAGACTCAACCTTTCATTAGCAATTGATTGAAATTCACTTGACCTATTAAAAGTACAACTAAAAAACATACCAAGATTTTTGACATCCATTTTTTTCTCATTTTTTTCTCATTCTTCATTTCAATCACATATTTTATCAATAAAATAAGAGTAATGTTATTCATCTCCACTGACCATTGGGGATGAAAACACAGTCTACGTGGTGTTAATGTGGCATTAAATGATATGTGAAATTAAATAAGTCATTTAATTTCACCTTTCATTTAATCTATCATTTAATGTCACATAAACTGTGTTTTCATCCCCACTGGGATGAATAACATTACCCATAAAATAATATTACACATAAACCAAAAAAATTCTCCTTACTTTTTAACCACACATTCTTCCATCAATCACTATTTCAAATCAAATTTTTCTCCAAAATGGGTGTCAAACAAAGTGTGGCAGTCCTTCAATCCCTTCATTCTATTTCCGACACTTTGAACTTAAGCTACTTCTTATTCATATATTTTGAGAGATCTACTCATTTATAGTTTAAAGTCCATAAACACTATTTAAACATGTTTAACAATAAATTTCAGAACTTGCTCCATATGCAGAACAATCGATGATTACAAAAATTTCAGGGCAATTTGCATAAAATTGCAGTGGCTAGAAGAAATAAGTGGACTACAGAAAACAAGACAAATGACTTCATATGTAGATGTCAGATCGACACTATTAGTGTGTTTGTCTCCCATTATTGTAGAAGAAATGAAGTAATGAATAATATTTTTTAGAGAATGTGTGGTTGAAATTTAAAGTTATTTTATTGGTTTGTGTGTAGAATATTTTATTGGGTGAATGTGTGGTGGAAGATTTTACTGTACCAAACAATGTTTTGAAATAATGAGAAATAAACAGGGCCTTAATTAAAGTTCGTCGAACAAATTTTGACATAAAAACGTTGGGCTTGAACAAAATTTCATTCCGAAATATATCAAAAAAATTCTCTAAAATAATCGCAAAATGTTAAAATATTATCTCTTCATCTTTTTCCAAACAACATAATTATATCCTATATTTGTAAAATTAAATATTCAATTTAAATTCAATTTATATAGCCCTTGTTTGATTCCCATTATTTTTAAAATACATTTTCCTCCCTCACATTTTCAATTTCACATTCTTTAATAAAATAATATTACACGCAAACATAAATTTTTTCCTTATTTTTAAATAATGCATTCTCCATCAATCTAATATTTCAAAATGTATTCTTACAATTAAATGGAGCTCAAACAAGTTCATAAACGAATTATTTATTTGATCATCAAAATGATATAAAAATTGGGTAAAATTGATCAAAAAATTGGTTATTCTATTATCTAAGGAGAGTGAATGAGATTTACATTGATGTTTGTCTTTGCAAACGAATAAATAGGAGTACTTAATACAATTTAGTCCATATTTGATACACATTCTTTCAAAATTCATTTTCAACAACACATTTTTCAGTAAAATAATATTTTCCATCACATTAATAAATGTTTATTACTTTTTAACTACATATTTTCTATCATATCACTATTTAAAATACATTTTTTCCTCAATAATATCTAACAAACACCCCCTTATTAGATCATTACGGTGAAGCGAAATTGAACTGATGAGTTAATTTCACAAATGGTCACTGAACTTAGTTAAAAATTACAAAACGGTCACTAAAATTTAAAACATGCAGAAACAGTCACTGAAATTTCATGCACTTTCACAAACGGTCACTGAACTTACTATTATAACTGTTATGATATTAATTCAAACTTAAAGGACCAAAACACGTGAACATAGAAGTTTGAGGACCTCAAGTGCAAATTCCATTCCCATCCCAATACGATCGAAAATACACATTTCGACGACACCCACATTAAGCCCAATATAATGGTCGTTTCTCCTCTTCTAGGTGACCCTATTCATAGCCTCCAATCAACAAATAATCAATTCCATCAAAATCAGAGAGCTCTGTTCGCGTTGCCTACCACTGCGCGTTCTTCATCTTCTGATTTCGACGTCGGTGGTGGGACCCATGACCACGGACAACCACCTCAGGCAACCACCACTCCTAGCGTATCCATTGAGCGCATGGGTCTTCCCCAATTTGGTCTGGAACTGACGATTAATAGTGGGGCAGCTCGAACGTATCGCGAGCCACTCGGTCCCCTTTCAATTGATGCTTCTCCACAGCTCCAATCAACAAATTGTACCAACCCAGAATGAAATTCATTCATTTCATCAGTCAAAAGAAACAATTTTGGATTTGGCTTCAAGAACGATTCGCTCGCGTAAATCTGAATTTCATCCATCAATTGGAGGCTCAAATGTTTTCAAAATACAAATCAATATGGGGGAATTGAAATTCAGGCTAAAAAAACATTGGGTACTCAATCAATTGCAGAAATTACAGCCTTGTTTGTCAAATTTTGGGGTCGAATATTGTTCTTCATACACCGAGAGCTGCTGATCTGATTTCCGCCAGTTTTGGATTTAACTTATGGTTTATTTGGTGGCTCAAATGTGTTTCAAGATACAAATCAACTTTGGGGAATTGATATTGAGGCTATAAAAACATTGGGTACTCAATCAATTGCAGAAATTACAGCCCTCGATTGTCAAATTTTGGGGTTGAATTTCGGCCAATTTGAGCAGAATTTTGGCCAAATTTGCACTTGAGGTCCTCAAACTTCTTTATCCACGTGTTTTGATCCTTTAAGTTTGAATTAACATCATAACAGTCCCAATAGTACGTTCAGTGACCGTTTATGATAGCGCATGAAACTTCAGTGCCCGTTTTATAATTTTTAGATAAGTTCGTTGACTTTGTGAAATTAACCCTTGAACTGATTGATCCTGAGCTTTCAAGCCTTTGAGTTGGATTTTCAACATTCTTTAATCTAAGAATTTTTTAAAATTACGGATAAATGCATTGTTTTGCTTTCAAGCCTTTGAGTTGGATTTTCAACATTCTTTAATCTAAGAATTTATAAAAATTACGGATAAATGCATTGGTTGAAAAATGGAGGCTAGAAGCGGCAAAAACCTATTCATCACTCGTCGATTTTCCCCGTCCTCCGAGTGGAATTGAAACTCACATGAAATGCTGAAAAGGAAGGATGAGGAACCGAGGGTTTTGGCGAAGCAATCTTTACCTGCTCGTTGGCGCCTTCAAACAAATCCAATCGCCAAGAAATGCAGTTGTTCGAGATCGATTAACGTTATTCAAGAGAACAATCAGTTCATATTCCACCGCCACCCAAACTTCAGAATTTCAACCCCAACTTTCTATTGATTTAATCAACATTATGGAACACAAATTATCCGCTATTCAACACAGGAATGCTTATCTTCAGGGCATTGTCAATCAGGTAATCCAAAACAATTAGTTTCTTCTTTGTTTTCCCTGTCATTTGGTGTTGTATATAACGTGTTTGTTAAAATACCTCTGTGACCTGTACTAGTCTCTCTCGCTCATGTTGTTTTTCATTGAAGACAGCCGGATGCCTTGCCTGAAGATTATTCGAGGGCCAACAAGGAGCTACGGAGGCTCGGAGATTCAATGGATCTTATAACGGAGTTGAGGACCAAACAGAAGGTAGTAGATTCATTGTGTAATATGAAGCTAGTTTGGCCAAGTTTAAGAAATTTACTTACAGTTAACTTCATTCATTTCGTTGTAAGTGGTATAATTTTTTGGATTTTGTTACTTGTACATTAACCTTTACCACCTTCTTGACAGAAAAATGTGTGGCAAAAATATATTGGATGAAAAGACTTTTTTTTTATATAAAACTGCTAAATGGCATGATTCTGTAAAAAAAACTGTCAAATAGAATGTACACCAAGCATGGTTGTAATTTTTTTATATATATTTGGATAAATTGTATCTGTAAGTAATTCTGTATTTTGATAATAAGTAAAGTTAAAATGTCAAATGGCCATGCTCATTCATTCTATTGTAATAAGTTGTAGTGTAAATGTGGATGCTGTTTGATTTGATGGTCCTGTTTTTGGCAGGAAATTGAGGGTCTCAAGCAAGTGATAGCTGAAAGCCAAGACGATAAAGACATGCACGAAATGGCTTCTGAAGAACTTGGACATGCATTGGAAGAAGAGAAGCGGCTGCAGTGTCTTTTGCTCAAGTCGTTGCTACCTAAGGATGATGCAGATGAGCGCGACTGCATTTTGGAAGTGAGAGCAGGTATGAAATGCAAATGGAGCTCAATGTCCAACTACTTGAGGCATACTTTTGCAGGTTCATTTTAAGCCTGAAAATATTTGCTGACCATTGATATAATTTATTTTAGGAACTGGGGGAGATGAGGCTTCTTTGTTTGCAATGGACATATTCAAAATGTAGGTGGCTATTACTATCTTGGATATACATTACCAGTCAAATTGTTTTTTTAAATTTTCTGACCTTTTATCTTCAAATTATACATCAGGTACGAAAAATATTCATCGAGAAAAGGTTGGAAATTTGAAGTCCTGGATTTGGCAGAATCTGACCTTAAAGGTTACAAGGTTTGTCGAGCAACTTTTGTAATATAAGTCTTTAGACAGATGGTCTCTAGCATGCCATTTTTATGGTTGCAATTTGGAATTATTGATTATCATCTGCATCAGATACTTTTTTCCCATTTCATCTTTGCCTTTACATTCAGTTCTGAGAATGTACATTTTCTTGTTAGGAAGCTAGTGCAGCAATCTCTGGAGCTGGTGTTTATGGAAAATTGAAATTCGAGAGCGGAATTCACAGAGTGCAGGTTTTTTATCTCATATCTTTAACATTCGGATATTACTCTCTGTTGTTCTGCTAAAATTTTGGATATGCTTTTGCAGCGAGTTCCTGTGACTGAGAAATCTGGACGAGTTCACACTAGTGCTGTGTCCGTTGCTATTCTCCCTCAGGCGGATCAGGTGCAGATTCCTTGAATCTGATGTTCTTAATTTGATTATCGTGAAAGTTTATAAAAGGAAAATAAGAAACCTGCAGAGTGAATCGCCTTTTTTATATATTCTATTTCCTTTTTGCAATCTTTTGAGGTTGAATCCGAAATTACAAGAACTACGTAATTGTAGTTTTTTTGTGATTCTATAGGTTGATGTGCAATTGAGGAATGAAGATTTGAGAATCGATACATATAGATCTGGTGGTTCAGGCGGTCAGCATGCAAATACCACAAATAGTGCTGTTAGGGTTACTCATCTACCATCTGAATTAACCATTGCCATACAGGATGAACGATCCCAGCATCTGGTGAGAAATTCGAAGTGCAATAATTTCATCCATCCTTTTCCGATTTTACCTTTTGCCAAGATTTACATTCTTAATTCTAATGGACTTATTATTGTCTTACTACGTATAAATGAACCATCAATGTGCAGGAATGTTGAGATGTAACCCTGCTCCTCCCAATCTTAGTTGTGTTATGCATCACTGTCATGATGATTATCTTGTTTCTTATTTTTATATTCATCAATAATATTTTTTATTTTTTAACTTTGGTGCAGTAATTTAATTCTTACTCATGTAGCCATATATATTTTAAATGAGTTGAGTTATAATTTATTATTACTGTTTATGTTTTTGCATACAATAAATATTACAACTTATAAGTGTTCGTCTTTTGGGGCAATCAACAATTTATTATAGTTCATAAATTGGGATTTTGATAGCATGGGAGGATTTTGCACACTTGAGATGGTTTTGACTGAAAAGTGTGGGTTCATTGTTGAAGTCTGTCTCTATGGCACTAAACTAGGTTTGCTAATCAATCTTCTCTTCTTGAAAGCTATGTTTTGACAAAATCCATTCCATTTATTTTCCACTTTTCTTCAAGCAAAAATTCATTAGTTTTAGAAGCAGAAACTAATTCTGGATTGCTCTCTCTTTAAGCTTAGACATCAATTGGAATCATGAGTTGGTATCTATATTTTTCCCCCCATTTGATAAATACTCATTAAGCATTGCTGCCATATGTGAAATAATATGCATATACATCCGTCCATATGTGTTTTTGTATGCTTGTGCACGTACATATTTGTCTACACATAAAATACTTTGATTTCATTCATTACATAGAAGTGCAGGTGTACTTGTGGTGTTTTAATACTTCCAAGCAGAATATAGGTGTACAGCTTAGAGCTTTAGTTTACCTTATTTTTTTATGTAGAATAGAAAAAGGTTCCAGTTGTACATAAATATTAGCATTGCTATATGACTATATCTATTTGTTCCCATTTCTTATTCTTGATGAATTTTTATTCACTTTCATCATCTCATGTTTTTCTATATCATCTGCTAGAACAAGGCCAAAGCACTCAAAGTATTGTGTGCAAAGTTATATGAGAGGGAAAGAACTAGGATTCATGCAAGCCGTTCAAAACTTAGAGCAGAGCAGGTATTTCTTTGTTTTATTTATTTATTTTTTCTCTATTTTAAGAGCTGAGCAGGTATGGTTTCAATATAGAAATTAGAAAGCGACGCCATCGCCTTCTTTCACTTGATTTTTACTTTTTCACTCCAACAGATAGGCAGCGGGGACAGATCTGAGCGCATCCGTACATATAATTTTCCTCAAGGGCGTGTTACTGATCATCGCATTGGCATCACTAATCATTCAATAGATGGCATGATGCAGGGAGAGAATCTGGACATATTCATAGATGCTCTTCTTTTGCAGCAAGAGATGGATGCAATTGCTAATTTCAGCTCTACTCAGTGATTACACATTTACACTGACAGTTCTATTTGGGTCCCACATGCAGTTGTTCTGTTAAATATATAGTACCGTGACAAGAAACGGACTAGACATCCGGAAAATCGCTCGCTCTTTATACAACTATACCCGAGCTTAGAATTACATAAAACAGATGTTATTACGAGATGATTTCTTGTGTAAAATCTGCTCAGAACCCTCGTAAATGCATATTCGTTCAAGCAGTTATAAATTGCAATGTGACGATCAATTCTCTCAAGTCAAAACAGCGTCCATAGGGTTTTTATCTTATTTCGTTGTTATTTAAACTCGTCTAAGGATATCCGTTTAGCATGATTTTTTATTTTGCTTTTACTTCTCATAGAAGAACTTTTGGTGGAAGTGCTCTCAAAATTTTTAATGAAAACTAATTTTTAAAAGTACTTATTTCATAAATGTTTTTAGAGGAAGCCATATTGAATTTACTTTTGCTAAAAATTTTCTAAATAAGAAAAGCCGAACGGGTTTAAAAGCTGCTTTTAGACATCAAAAGTTCTTTTTGACTTTTCAAAAGTCATGTCAAATGGGTTTTACGAGTTTGGTTCAAAATTAACGGGACTTGTCATAAGTGTTGTTCTTTATTAATTGTTGACGACGATCAATATTAAGAGTTGGGAAGAGAATTCCATGATATGGACATCAGATTCAGCAAGGGTAAATCAAGTAAACTGAGTACAAAAAGATGCCGACGCCATAAAGCACAAGCAACTGCAAGGAAACTACTTTGATATTGTAGGTCATCAAGGAAATTGGGGGCTCTCTGCTGCACTGCCAAGAAGAACACAATGCCATCAGTCCCAACTCCCAAGCACTGAGGCTGATACTAACAATGCAAGGGATCGAGCTCAAGCACGAAATGAATAGTTTTATGCATTTCTGAAGGACTAGGCTCCCTCACTTCCCTGTGTGCCCAATAAAACACAACAGGGCTGATATGATGATGTCCCCTATCAATAGCTACTATTCAGGCTTTTCTGGTGCACTCTTCACGGCTGATCTTTTATTAACATTCAATTGCTTGGTTCAACAGAAATAACAAGAACGCAGTAATATATAACTATTTTTATTTCACTTTTCTCATTTGCTTTTCTAATACATATCCAGTATCCATTGTTGTAGAATGAAATTGAAGAATTATTCAAACTGTAGAAGGCAGAAAAACAGAAGAAGAAGAAACAGAGGAAGAAGCCTGAAGGAAAAAAAAGACTCAGGGGATGTAGAGAAAGCGTTGGTAGTGGCCAATCGAAATTTTATAAATTCATTAACTGTTCCAATTACAATGAAAAATCCAATAAATTGTAAAACCTAACCCCACTAGTAAAGGGCTTGGGCCATCCCGGTAAGATATGCCCAATAATAGAAAACACAAAATCTACAATAAAAAATAAATCTCGATATGTCAGCATCATCCATTCTATGCAGTGTTTATATGCAGTCCAGAAATGCTCTTCGTGAAAAAGCTTTGCCTTATATCTATGCCATGCCATTTATTGCTTGCTACTGTAATGAATATTACTTGTACATTCGAAGGTTCAAGGCAATTTTTCCACGAAGAAATCCTGACACTCAACTACCTGGGTACCAATTGGCTAGAAGAAATTCGTAGTGGACGAAGACTTTCTATGCTACAAGTGACTTTCCAAGAGATTAGGCAACGAAATCTTCCCAGAGTTATTTGGATCAAGCTTCCTGAACTGCTCGCATATCTGGATTATATCTTTTTCCCTGATCTTGCCCATCTCTTTGAGCTTGAAAATTATGTATTCCGATTTACTGCATCTTTGTAGATTGTCAAAATGGTTAGTGTGATAGTTTGACTTAAAACAGCAAAACAGAATTAGATGATTCTTCTGTTCTTAAAGCCACAAGGAGCTCTAATACGTATCAGATGATGCAGAAAAACAGAAATAGAAGTAATCATTGGTGTGACATACAGCAGTAAGATTGAGTGTTTGAAGTTAGAAGTTAATGGATGCAACATAAAACTTCACACCCGCACCCCAAAGGAAGTATTCAGTTATTAATAATTTCGAAAGGACAAAAAAATGAACAAGGCACAAGTAAAGACAGATCTGTCTTAAGAAGCGAGAAGAGGAAAAATCTTTATTGCATAATATTACTACAACCTCAAGGGATGTATAATATAACAAATATAGGCATAGGACTCCCAGCAGCCGCAATGCGGCTTGGAGAGTTGAAGAAGCAAAATAGTCAGAAAGGGATGTATCAATACAACCTCAAGGTTTGACAGATTCAAAAAGATGTTACTTACGGATCAAAAAGATTAGCTGGATAAACTATTTAATTTTCTTTTTGGTCCAAAAGTGATGAACTTCATGTTATTCAATTGAAACCCGTTGCAAGGAATTCAATTGAAACCCGTTGCAAGGAAAAGTAGATTGAGATATACTAGTTGCTGTACTATAAGCTCTTAAAAAGGTGAAAGGTTGTATTTTTGGCTTGTGAGAATCATTCAACGGCCCTGAGCATCCTTAACAAATATGGCTTGGAGAGTTGAAGAAGCAAAATAGTCAGAAAGGGATGTATCAATACAACCTCAAGGTTTGACAGATTCAAACGAAACATCCTCAATCTTGCTTTCTCCATTCAAGTTCATCATTTTCTGTTTTTCTTTCTTTCTTCTTGGTTTTATGTTTTCTTGCACCGGTCCTCTTCTTCTCCCATATATGCACATTATTAAGTCCAATAACAATTTAAACATACTGTCACCCATATAATCTACTAATGGGAGTGCACTAGAAAGATATTTAATGTAGTTAGACAAATCAATCAATTTCAAAACAGAAATCAAGAAAGTATACTTAGCTAAAATGGAAGAATACAAATGAAATCTTGTTGGCATCCTTACCTAATGAAACCATTGTTATTGATATCAGCAGCAACTAGGTCCCCAACAGTTATTTTGCGATGCAGCACCCAATTAGTAACTTTCCGGTGCCTCTTGTGGATTCTTGCCTCCGCCAAATACAGAAATGCCCGTGCAACCGCGAGTGTGGAGAACAATAGCCAAATCGACGCGAACAACCTCCCTGGCAGAGTCTTGAATGCTCTGTCTCCATATCCGACTGTGGTAACAGACATAACCGATAAATATACAGAATCCACACAATCCAAATGTTCCACAAAGTACAAAACCAAAGCCCCAATTCCAATACAAAGCACAACTACCCCCAATGCCAAACCCACCTTCAGTCTAATTCTCATTCTGCCCTTAGCCACATCCACTATGTAGTCCCTGGCAGAAAGTTTCCCATGTTCTTTTTGTTGATTTTGTTTAGGTGCTTGGATGCCGGCTAATATCACACTCTCCTGCAAGTCAAGCACATAATTGACAACCCCACTCAGCAGAATGTCGATGAATCCAAAGCCTACCAACACGAAAACACAAGCAAACACTTTCGTGACCGGCGTTAACGGGGCAATATCCCCATATCCTATGGTGCACATAGTGACAATACAGAAGTATAAGGCATCCACCACCGGGTGAGTCTCAACACCAGAGAAATTATCACGATTGAATGAATAAATAACGACACCGAGGGCCAAGTATATTAAGAGCAAAACAGCAGCCTGCTTGGCTAAAGAAACAGACTCGGACTCAAAATCAGGATCTTGGGCATGGTCAGACTGGGGCTGTTTCATTACAGACATTGCAGGGGCAGTCTTGCAGCGCTGAATTTTCTTGCGCTTAAATGAAGAGGAGGGTCCCGGAGGAGGAGAAACAGTATGAAGAAAATCGTCATAACCAAGTAGACCGTCTTCAGTATCTTCGTAGATTGCTGGGGGCTGGATTTTGATATCGTTTTTTTTCAAAGACTGAGGGATTTTGAGAGTGAAATCATGAGGCAGTTGAGGAGAGGCCAACAATGGCTCTGCTTCCATTCATTCATACAGCTGAAATTATTAGTTGAAATCCCAAAAAGATTAAAGATTACGGTTGAGATTGAGCCGCCGTAAAAGCAATAGAACAATCAGCAGAGAGAGAGGAGAAACTGAAGAAAATTGTTACCTGATGAGAGAGAGGGAGAAGAGATAAATGGATTTGGCATTTGGCAACCTGCCTGCCTTATAAAATGCGTGGGCCCCACTTCCTACTAGGAATGGGCCAATTGGTAATCGTCTTCTACTTCCGAATTTCCAATAATAAAAGAGATCATTTCATGGTGGGGATGTCAAGGGCCCTAACGCCGTTTAAATTTTTTTTTTTGATAATTTATTTTATTTTTCACATTCATTAGATCGAGACAAATAATTTTAATTGTCATTTTTTATTAGAACTACTGAAAATTTGCATTTAAAGTATTGCATTCTAAAAATAAAAAATAAAATAAAATGGGGCGGGGGCACCCGTTACCCATCCCTGCCCCGAATCCGCTCAGGGGCAAAATTCTCCTCCCCGTCCTCGCCTCGAATACCTTATTACACAGGTAATCTTTGCGCTCGTTTGGGGAGGGGCCCTGCGGGTATTGGTTTTTTTTAGTATCCCTATTTCATGGTCACTCAAGTTCAAATGAAATTTCATGTTGGTCCTCAAACTATTTTTTTACCTATTTAGCCTCCATTTGGGAAGAATTGGTTCCATTCACAAATTTTGAAATAAATTATAAAAAATTCATCCTAAAGCACACATTTCGATATATTAACAAGTATTATACACTTGTCCGCCAATTAGTTCTATTTATTTATAAATTAAAAGATTTATAAATTCTTTTCAAATGAATATAAAAATGAGTGGTGAATAAGTTGATAATATACGTAAATTCATTAAAAATCTCATGTCGAATATGATACTAATCACAGTGATGGAGTGACCAATTACGCAATATTGTTTTATTTTAATGACTAAATGGTTAAATAAAATATATTTAAGACCAAGTTGAAATTTAGCTTGAACTTTAGTGACTTGTTGTGAAATTAACTCAATTAAATATCTGTTTTAAATTGAG